AGACAAACAATCCAAACATTCTGCCAATTGTCACAAGCGGCGGTGAATTGGGCTAAGTCTTCGGTTTTGGTACCACTCGCGACACAACCTCCATACCACTGGGGTCTTCGTGTTGTGATTTCATCACAACATGAACGACTGCTGGGACACTGTCTCTCGTTTGACTCGCAGTAGATGACTGATTCTTCACAATCTTTTGCTCGACTGCGTGTAACACTTTTACCATGGGCTCAACACAAAGGTACTAGTCTGTTTGGGAGGGCTATAGTTATTAATAATGCAGTTTTGTCTACACTATGGTATAGACGCTCTCTTTTTCAATTGGACCTCCCTTCCCTTCAGATGGTTAGGCACTTGTTGTCTCACTACTTATGGAAGGAGGAGATGAATGAAGAAAACTTCTTGCCCAAGGTTTCTTGGCAGACTGTAGTGCAACCAACAAGATGTGGAGGTCTTTCGATTTCGGACCCAGAAAGTCAGATTGTCGCCTTGTTGGCACGATGGGTGCCATGGGCGATCTTCGAATCACCGCATTCGCCGTGGAGACAGTTGGCTGAGTTTACCCTTTTTTCTTCCCTAGACTGGTCTGATCTACGTTGTTTTTGGTTAGCTCTTCTTTTCCCTGAATATCTTCGTAAACAAATGCCATTTGGAGTATGGGCTGGTATTTTGAAGGCATGGAGAGTTGTCTGCCCTCGTCTGCAACCTCCCCAGATGATATTTGAGCGATTGCTTACTCAACCTTTGTTCAATAACCCCTGGATTTTGACAGCCCAGGGACTGCCTTTTGCATGTTTTGGACCTGGTCAATTTGGGAATGCATGGATGGGTAGAGGAATTGGTACCCTTTCAGATTTGTGGGATGATCAATTGTTAGATTGGAAAGCATTTCCATTGCTGGCACCCGCCTTGATTGGATTGTGGCATCAACAACAACATCTTCAGCAGTTACGAGATTCGGTACCACAGACCTGGGTAGATATTCTAAGGAACGACCCTCAGGTGGCTGATGGTATGTGGTACAAACAGGAAGGCCAGGCTATGCTGCGATATGTTTGGAGAAAGGAGACGTATGCGGAAGTGACAGATATACCCTATTCATGTTGGGAAGTTCAAGGCGATGCATTCTCATATGGAGAACCCCTTCGGTGCGTACAAGAACTGGTGCCATTACCCTTGCCGGAACAGATGCAGCCGGTGTGTGTGATTGAACAAAACGACAATTACAGACCGTTCTATCTGCAGATTCTGTGTTCACACTTGCCGGTGGACCCTCGAGATTGGGCATGGCAACATCCCCGAAATCCAGAAAAAATGTTTTTTTTACAAGATTATACGGTCAAACTGGGTTACCAGATTGTAAGGCCACAAGTGGATGTCGACTGGGTGGTGGCAAGAAGGTGGATGGGGACTGGATGGGTCGCAGACTCCTTACCTAGATTGGCAAAAGCAATTCAGGGTTTCTGGAAACAACTTCTGGATTTGACTAATAAGAAACATGCTAGTCTGCTATGGTTAATGATGCATTTGGCCTTGCCAGTGGCAACTTGGTGTTCACGCAGGACTGTCAAAGCTACACGGCTGTGTACAATATGCCCAGGAACTCGCGTAGAAGATGTTCAACATTTTGTGCTGCAGTGACCTCACCCGACCCTTTTGGGAATGGTGGCGTCACTCCCCTGTTACGATCCCGGATGTGCGGGCCAGGTGGGATGATCACTTTGTCCTTTTAGGGACAGCCTCTAGAAGAACGCGTAATTCTGATCGATATTCCCATGCTGAGGAGACGCTACGTGCTGCCATTCTTACCACTTTCTGGAATCTTCGAAATTTGGCAATCCGTAGAGGGGAACAGACAACCCCCCCCATGATCAGAGCGGAAATTAAATACAACATCAAACTGGCGATATCCGCGGAATGGGAGCTTCGCGTACAGAAGAAAGGCTATACAGCTAAGGCACTCAAATGGTTCTGTGCTAGATGGGGAGCCTTAATGGACTGTGTACTGTCAACCTGCAGGGAGGAACCTTTCCTACCTTGTTTTTTTCGGAATTCTTTTTGTGAAATTCTTTTTGTTTTTCTTGTTTTGTTGAATACTTGTTGGTAGACTTTGCTGAATTTTTTTTCTAGATTTTGATTTTGTAGACCTTGTTGTAGAACCTGTTGTAGACTTTGTTGTAGATTTTTTGTGTGACTTTGTGGATTTTGCGAATTTGAGATTACCGGTACCGGGGGGCGGGGGTCTCAATCGGTGACATAGCTGTAGTTGGGAATGAGACTAGCCGGGAAGTGCCTCTCTCAGCCCCGTCTGCTACAGTATTCATGTGAGGGACGCCGGGCCCGTTTCCCGGTTATAATTGGTTTTGTTTTTGAAAAAAAGATAATAAAGGGAAAAAAAAAAAAAAAAGTGTTCAATCAAAAAAGAAGACCCTTGCCAGTAAAAGGGCCTTTACCCGTCAATACCCCATTCAGACCCTCTAAAAGAGAATCAGCGTTAAAGGGGTGAAAAGGGAACCCCGTGGAAGGTTCAAAATACAGCGTCCAAAGGTAAAGCACTTTGAACAGGTGYGAATGGGACCCAGCCAGCAAGTCAACAGACGAGTAGACAAACGAAAAGTCACCTCTGGGGGTCAAAAGTCACATCTCTGAAAGAAAACAAAGGTCTGTCGAACAGTCAACATGCATCTGCACACGAAGCTACAGAAAGGGAATGTATGTAAAAGAACTTGCATTCATTTGAGGGGGAAATGCAGAATGTCTGTTCATTTTGAGAATGTGCCKGTTCGCTTAGATTTGTGTCTGGCCGTGGGTACAGCTAACTAAAAGTGTCCCAGTTCTGTCTTAAGTCTAGAGGGCAGTCCAGATTCAGGCCTGTCAGTCCAAAGGCTAGGCCGATGGCCTCAAATTCAAGCAGTACCTCGTGGGAAAAGAGATGGGACTAATGCAATGCAGATCTGGGCCAGGCCGAAGTACCAATTCAGAGGCTGAAGCTGCTCGCCAAGATTATAAAAGAGGCAGTGAGCCTCCTGGAAGCTCATTCCCCACTGGCGTGGAAGTG